TGCATAGGTAGAAGTGTTATTGAGCCAGGTGTGGTGGAGCAGGCCTATAATCCTAGCAGCTCAAGAGGCTGAGGCAGAAGGATTGCAAATTTAAGGCCAGCCTCGGCAACTTAGCAAGGCCCTAAGCAACTTAGTGAGACCCTGTCTCAAAAAATAAAAAATGGCTATTGATGTAGCTCAGTGGTAGTGCCCTTGGATTCAATTCCAGGTACCAAAAAAAAAAAAAAAATGCTATTGAAAGCACAGACAGTGCATGAATAATATGATTCTGCAACCTGTACGCTCAGAAAAATGAGAAATTATATCCCATCTGATTCAAATGTATGGTATATCAAAGTCATTGTACTGTCATGTATAACTAATTAAAACAAATAAAAAAAAAAAGAAAAGAAAAAGAAAGTGCAGACAGGAAGACTGCAGGAAGAATTCTGAACTTCCAAGAATCTGCTCTTCCATAAAAGCAGTGAGAACACTAGTGAAACTGTCAAAATCAACTTTTTTTTAGTTAATTTTGAAATTTCAGTTTCAAGTTTCTCTGGAAATCCATGAAGGCTTGTAAAGACCTGAGGAGTGTTTATTTAAGAAAAATGGCTTCCTCTCACTAAGATAGCAAGCATCATGGCATTTAAACTTGCCTCTAGCTCCACAGAAAACCGACAGCCACTTGTGCCTATGTGTCTAGCAAGAGGCCAGCGAGGGTGGAGGCCAGGGGCCTGTCTACTCCCTCAGACACCCGGGTGGACCCAGCTCCACCACTTACTTACCCAGCTTCCTAAACTCAGCCAATGACCTGCTTTCTGCCTCTCCTCGTCTGTGAGGGTAAACGATGACAGGACCTAGCCCAGGGCTGCTGGAGGAGCAGAGGAGGGAACTCAGGTCAGGTGCGAGAACGTGCCTACCACGCGGTGAGGCCACACTGGAGGAGCTGCTCACTTGGATCATTGTGGGCTCATCTACGGAGACCAGAAACTCTCGGAGATATGGAAACCCCAGCTTCTACATCCTATAGATTTTTAATGCATCTCTCCCTTGTCTTTTCCTAGAACACTCTTATTTCAAGGCCCTTAAATATTTGTTCAACAGATAATGACTTCTGGATTTGACAAGTTTTTACATAGGAAATTTCTGATCATATGACTGTCACTTATATGGATCCAGCAAGTAAATGTCCATGGCTGACCTTACCTGGCACTGAAAGCTGTTCTTTTAAGAGGGGAGAATATTTATCTTAAAATAGGTCTTCTCAAATTGCACAGAAAGTCCTTCCACCTCCACTTAGAGCCACTGGTGGGCCAGACACGAGGAACCTCACCTTAACATGCCATAAGAAAACCTGAGTCATTTGGGGGTGAGAACCCTGGAACCAGGCTCCTGAGCCTGTGAATCTACCGCCTACCCCCTGGTAACAATGCACATGTTCACTGTAAAAATAAAGTACCTTACCTCACACATTCCTTCACAGTGCTACACAAGGTGCTTTTGACCCCTTCAACAGTTGTCACTGTCCCTTCTCTTGTGTATATTTTCAAGGTCATCTAATGATGATTTTATTTCTCTGGAGGTTTATATAGGTCTGGGGCCTTGTGGATCAAGAGAGTTTATGAAGCATCTTAGAAAATAATGAAAATAGCTGTCCTTGAAAGGCCACCTTTTCTCCTCCTGTCTGGAGCCTCCTGGCAGTGTCTGACCTGCTTAGGTCTCTCCCATCTCAAGTCAAACCAAACCAAGCCAAAATGCTCATTTAGCTACCTGTTCTCCCGTCCAGCAGGTAGCCATGCTGTGGGAAGAGCAGTACATACTTATTAGCACCGTATTCTCACTTCCCACCTGCTCCGCAGTTCACTCCAGTGTGGCCTATGCCCATCAATCCACAGAAAAGCACAGCCCTTGACCTCCACGCCACCACATCGAGCATCCTGTTTTCACTTCTCTCGCTTGACAAATCTGCAGCCCAGGGCCCTGTTGGCCTCTTTCCAAGCCTCTCGCACATTTCCTCATTCCCTGTACCCCCCGCAGTTCCTATGCTAACAAAGAGGGTGTAACTTTCCACACCTTTCTGCTACACAGATGCATAGCACATCTATAACTCACAGGTTTGTGGGTTTATATGTTTGCTTTTTCTTACTGTTCACATTGTTTTAGGATTTCCTTTTTCATTTCATATTATATCCCAGATGATCTATAAAAACAGGAGATACGTTTCTAGCTCAATGATTTTTAAACTTTTGTATACAAATGAGTCTATACTCAGACATCAATGAGCTTTAACACATTAAAGTCATTACAGTTTTGGAAATTAGAAAGAAAACCTAGATTGTGCACTGGGGTCCTCTTGATAGTTTCCAGTGGAGCAGGACCAGTCATGGTGGATGTGCAGATGCACAGATTTCAGCTCAATGTGAGGCAAAGGGAGCATAACTGACCCTGGCCTCTGGCTTCCCCGGAAAGCCACATCACTAAGCAGCTAACTGAAAACATTTTTTTATCTCTGTTTCAGGTCTAGATATTACATTAAAAACATATTTTGCATTGGTAAGCAAAATGAAGTGTGACTCTAATGTCCTGACACTAATTCTGATGTCTCCTTCATCGTTGTCACCTTGAGAGGTGACAACAGTACTACTGCTTAAATGGTTCTTGAAAATTTTCCTTTAGCCTAAATATCTGTTTAAGCATTTATTTTTTCCCCTCCATTTCCAATAGATGGTTATAAAAGTATTGCCTGCCCTGGTAAAAGCTGAATAAAACCCAGCCCCTACTGATCGGCTACTTTGCTGACCCTCTACAGTGCACTGTGAGGATCCTTTGTGAGACACAACCTACCATCTGCTGAACCTGAGTTGGAAACAACAGAACCTTTCTTGAGTCTTCCCAACTATACCTCTTCTAGGAATCTTCCGAAAATTCTACTTATCACAACAAATGTTTTCAAACATTAACCTCTTTTTTTAAAAAAATATTTTTTTTTTATTGTAGATGGACATAATATCTTTATTTATTTATTTTTATGTGGTGCTGAGGAATCAAACCCAGTGCCTGACACAAGTGAGGCAGGTGCTCTACCACTGAGCTATAGCCCCAGCCCAAACATTAACCTCTTAAAATGAAAATACATGCAGAGTAGCAGCAAGTCCAGAGAACTGAAGGAAGACCTTGATATCTGATTGTGTAGAGTAGATTATAGTTGGTTTCACAGGGAAATTTCCACAAAACTGAATTCCCATCACTAACCAGAAAAGTTGTTCCAACGAAATTTCCTGTACAATACAAAACCAAAGGATCAATATGACAATAAAACCCAGAGCAAACAGAAAAGCCAAAAAGGATGACACGGAAAGAGGGGAAAGCAGACCTGGGGGCGACCTCCGGACACAATGACAAAGAGCTACTGAATCCAGTCATTAAAACATTAACTGAAGAGCGCTGACAGCCAGGCACAAGGCAGTGTCTTGCTTCGGTTAGCAGTGGCCTGGGCGAGATGGCCAGCCGGGTCTACCTTAAGGGGTGACCACAGTGGTCCTCAGGTACAGAAGCCTGTTTTTTTTATAGTCTGCGGCTAAGAATGATCTTTATATTTTCAATATTTGGAAAAAAAAGTAATGACATGAAAATTATGACATTCTAGTTTTAGTATCCACAAACAGTTCTGTGGGAACACAGCCATGTTCCCCTGACAGCTACTGTATTACAGAGGCAGGACCAGAGACTGAAACCTGCAAGAGTGGCCTGCCAAGCCTGAGAGGCTTCCTATCCTCCCCTTTACAAAGAAAGTCCGTGACCCCTGTTCTAAATCAGATTCAACTGCCATTTGCATTCTGTGTGACCTCGGGCTGGTCTCTCCTTAGGAGGGGATGATGGCCAGGTCCCCTCTGCAGGTCGGGTTCAGAGCCTGTGCCACCGGGCAGGAGGAGTGAGCAGGAGTGCCCACTGGTGCCACCTGCAGTCCAGGATGGAGATGGCATGCGGGAGGCGCCTGTGAGTCGCTGGGTGGATCTCACCCTCCTTGTGGGGGCTCCTATGTAACTATTGCACACAACTGATGCCATCATGAACAAAACTTTGACTGTCACCCACTTTTTAAACTGACAGACCTCAACTTCCAACAAATACATTTTCCCACATCCATATTTATAGTGAATACTCCCCCACAACAGAAGAACCTTCCAGGATTCACCGGAGGAAAGCAAGTCACATATCCACACCACAACCAGGAGGACAATGAGTCAGCTCTTTCTGGGTCTCCGAAGGGAAAACAAGGCCTAGCCTGTCATCTGAGGATCCAGACAGCTCCGGGGAGTGGTCCTTCCAACACCTCACGGGCTGCGCACATTAGCTTCTGTGCATTAGGAGGAGGGTTTTCCACAGTGAGAAAATCCACTCCCAAAGAATGAAAATAACTGAGTGGGGTTGTTGATTCTGCTGGCTCTGAACCCAACCCAGGACAGCTCAGCCCCAGAGCTTCTCACCATGAGCCTCTGTGCCCAGCTGCCCAGCCAGGGAGATGGGTGGAGGCTTGTGGTAAAGAGCTTCCATGAGATCCAAAGGACGTGCAGTCTGCATCTCCGCTCTCTGCAGGTGTGTAGGGCCTGCAAACACAGCCACTTGTGCTGCCACCCCGGGGCCCTCCTGCTGCCCCCTCCATCGCAAGGTAGAGTCTACTTCCTTTCCCAGCCGGGGCCGGGCTTGCTGTGTGCTTCCGCTGAGTGCACAAGCCCCGTTCTGAGACCACTGAGCCCAGAGAGGACCAGAAGGGCTCACTTCTTCCCTGGTGGAACCCAGCCTGACCGGACCACTGAGTGACAGCTGGCACTGGAGAGACACCTCGGAGGCAGCCATGTAGGACTCTATGTGAGCCACCCCACTGGACCTCAGCCACCCCACAGGACTGAGGACAACAGGGCAGAAGTGGAAACTTCAGTTCTGAGCAACTGTTCAAGGCAAGGAAGACCAGGATAGTTTGGTATGAGTTTTCTACATGGTGAAAAGAGTTTCCAACTTACTTCATCATCATCATCTTCATCATCATCAGACTCAAGAACGCCATCAAGCAGCTCTTCTATAGAGGAAAAAAAAAATATATATATATATATATATACATAAGAAAAAATATCAGTGAATAGCCACAAACAGTGGGCGACTTGGCCAACACAATCCTTCAGGCGCCACAGAGACCAGTGAGCACCATCAAGAGAAGGAGTGCTGGGCTCAACCATTTCTCATCGTAATCATTTCAGACACGTTTTGACATTGTCCTCAGAGATTTTAAATAAATCTCTCCATTTTTACCAGAACATATTTAGAGTAGCATGAGGAAAATCCCAACCAGCACATAATTTGAGGGACCTTCAGGGAAGGGAAGTAAACTAACATTTACCACCAGACATGGCAGCGGGCACCCCGACACTGAATCCTCACAACCCCCTTACAGCGAGAGGTGGAGGCACAGAGGGGAAGTAGAAACTGCATCTACTTCTGTGTACAGGTGGGGTGGTGGCTGTGGCAGGGAGGGTTCCCAGAGGCTCACTGCTACATCTTTAGCGTTCACAAACAAGCCTGGATTCATAGCGTAACTGAGCCAGAGAAAGAATGGACCATTTTACCATATGTAAAATGGGGATCCTACCACCTCCTTCTTAGGTGAAGCATCTGGCCCAGGTATCAGCAGGCATTACATAGATGCAGGTTCCCCCCTCCATGATGCCTTCCCTGGTGCCCTCACTGAGCCCATCATCTCTCCCTCCCTGAACATGATCTGCGTTTCACCTGGAACTCCTGCCAGCACTCACCCTGTGGATGACCCTGCCTCCTAATGAATGGACGGCTATTGACTGCAGGTGTCCCTTGTCCCTACTCTACTGGGTCGTGAGTATCTGGGGATGGAGCACCTGACTTCCCCCTCCCTGCGCTCCTGCTGCACCCTCCTTGTTAGCACTGGTTTGGTGAAAGTAAAGAAAGCCTGAGAAAAGAAAGGAAGTCAAAAAGAAGGAAGGAGAAAGAAGGCGTCAAAGGCCATACTTAGAGGTGGCCTTAGCACGGGGCCTGACAGAGGCACCTACATTAATCAAACACCAAGCCACGGCCTAGAAGGGCGTCACCAACATCCTGACAGTCTCACTTACTCAAAGTGAGGTCTCCGCTGACCTCACTGGTCTGTGGCCAGCAGGACACCAAATCTGTCCCCACCTTGATGAGGTTTGCATGTCTCTACACCCATCCCAAGCCACACCACTGTCACAGAATGCCAGTGAGTTCAGAAAGCTACTCTGCAGACATAAAGCTGTTAAGTCATTCTGCATTTTGGCTGAATTTAATTATCTAACTTCTCTTCCCTTCTCAGACACAGCATATTCCATTCCATCTGCAGGAAATGCCTTTCAAAATGGCGGTGCTTCCTATGGTCACCAATTACAAACCCCTCAGGTTCTCTGTGGAAAAGTCAAGTAGTCCAGCACACTCCCTGCTCTCCTTCTTGGCCCAGCCTCTCTTCCCTAACCCACAATCTCTTCATCTATTGGCTCAGACTCTTCCCACCACCCAGAACAGGGCTGGTCCCATGTACTAGAAGACCTGGGTCTGGGCTCCTCCACCACTCACTCCTGAGTTGGTGCACAGCCACGCTGCCCTCCCCAGTACCGCTCTACTTTCTCCTGCCCGTGGACCAGGCTAGCACCGCTGTTTCTCTGCCCTGACTGGCTATAGTCTGCCAGCTCCCTTGCAGAGGGCTGGAACTGTGGTCTGGGCCCAAGCCAGGGATAAACCTCCTTACTGCTGTTGGCTATAGCTCTGCTTGTCATTGTCACCAAGCTGGAATTTTCTTTTAGGCTTCACCAGACTAGTCTCTTCCCACCTATGGGGTTAGGCTCTTAGATACTCTAAAATATACCCACAACTTTGTACTTGAAGATCTTAAAACTTCACTGGAAAAATAGCACTGGTGGGCTGATAGCTACGGGCTCGAATGTATGAAAACCCACTCCTGTGCTTTTAAGTTTACTAAAATAAAACAAGGAAGTCTCTAAATAAAGATAATGGTAATGTCATTTCATGGTGGTTGTGGTTTTTCCTTGCAGTGCTGGGGATTGAACTCAGGGCCTCTGCATGCCAGGCAAGCACTCTACCGCTGGGACACACCGCCAGTCCTTCACATATCTTAAACTAGGAAGGTGGCCCCAATCCACACTCTGTTAGTTTCCATGTGAGTAGAAACACTGAGCAGAAGTTCTCTAGTTCCATTATTGTCTTGACTGGCTGCTGGTGGCACGTGTCATAAGGTGTGAGTGTGTGCTTTTGAATCTAGTTTCAAACTAGCAGACTCCTGGGTAGTTATCTCTGGGTTCTGCCTCCATAAAGAACAACTTGGATACTTTAGATGAAGAAAGAAATGTTTTAGGTCCCTTATTTGAACAGGAACTTGCTGAACTTTTGGGTAGGTATTTCCCAAGCCTTCCAGAATCTCCAGGGCTATCCAGCTGTAGTTCTGTCCACGACAACTTCTTGCCAGAGTGGTTCCTTACAAAGATGTGAACTGTCTCCTCCCTCATGGCAGCCTGGCATGTTGAGCCAGGGCAGTTTTACATAAGGGAAAGTTGACTCTTATGCCAGGGAGCAAATGGAGCCTGCATCCTGCTTCTTGGCTTCCAGGAAGACTGGCAAGAAGATGGATGTGCATTTGTCTCAACGACTCAAACACAGGCAGCCTTAAGAAGATTCCAACCCAAATGTGACCTTGAAGTTGCAGAGAACCCCTGGCCTGAGAGGGAGGACTTGGCGCCACTAATGACCAAGAAGCAGACGGGCAACAACTACCCACCTCAGTGGCAGCCCACCCAGAGAAGGCAGGAAGCAACCTTAGCCGAGACTCGGGCAGGCTCGTTCACATTATATCTGTTTCATCGCACCAGCCTGGGCTCGGAGTCAGAACTGAAGTCCCTGGAGAAAATGAAGCTCTATTCTCTGCCCGCCTGAACTTGGGATGAGTTATACTTGCTCCATAAGAACCAAAGAGGAGGACAAACGGGATGGCCAGGAAACCCATAGCTCCCTGGCCACTCACTCCTGTGGCTTCTTCTCGCCTGGCAGCAGGCTCCTCTTGGCTGCCCGGGTACCACCTGTCCCTCGATGCCCTCTCTCTCCTGTGGGGATTCTAATTTAACTGGTGTGGGTGCAGCAAATCTGCCCAGGTGCTGTGAGGCTTGAACAGGGAGCAGAGACACGGCACCTGTGGGCTTCTGGCGTTTCCCTGGAGCTTGGCTCTGGTCAAGCAGTGACTTGTGAGGAGAAGGGAGACCCTGGCTTACCTTTTGCTCATGTTTACTTGCACTGCTAGGTGTCAGGGAAGGGCACGCGGAGAGTCAGAGGGGACAAACTGCCCCAATGCTGGCAGCACCAAGGGCCTCTGTTGAAGAGTCCACACCAAGAGCCAAGAGCTCCTCCCCCACCCCATCCAAGGCTCCCCTGGCCTTCCTCTCCTGCTTATTATGGGACATGTGGCTGTGGTAATAGAAGCAGCTCAACAGAAAGGGGACCTTGCTTCTAGATGAAAATCATACATCACCTGGAGTGAATGGATCACCAAGGGAGGCGTGTACTGCACTATCTGACCCCAGGACCTGGGGAAGTCACCCTTTGGGGGTAGAACTTAAGAGGGGAAAGGGAGAGGCCCATAAAGAGAACTTACAAGGTTAGGGAAGGGTTTCTGAAATTGCTTTTAACTTCTTTTTGTTGACTACAGGCCCTAAAGTATGATAAGAGACTGTTAATCTTTGGACACTCTGGCCTTGACTACTGTGAGTTCACCTGGGCCTCCCCACTTCCCTAAAGGCCAATGACTTCCAAGGAACCCCAAGCCTCACTGAGAGAGCCCAAGATCCTTCTGACACATGCAAACAGTTCAAAAGCGAGGCGTAGGTTCTTGCATTAAACTGACCGGAATTGAGCTGCTTGATGATGAACTCTATCTGGCGGATCATCTCAGCATTGCCTTCTTTGATGAAGCAGCGCAGGATGTCTTCCATCCCCTAGAAGCACAATGCACACAATGCTTTAGTGTTTTCAGTAGGGCAGTTTCATCTCATCCAAAAAAGAATTTCTCTTTTTTTGGGGGGAAGAAGATACGTACAATAAAAATCCTCTGCTTACTACTAAATATTCTTTTTGTTCCTTTTATAAGTCACAGTGAGATTTTCTTCTTGGTTGACTGACTGACTTCAAAATAACATTATAATGTATTTAGCTTAAAAACAATTGTAAAATTTCCCTGCATAGTACTGCCTCGAGTTTTGGCAATTTGTTGAGAGGTGATTTCTTTCCTGTGTTTTCCTCTATTTATTCAATGCCTTCTGGATTTTAGGGCCAAATAGGGCCTTCAAAAAGTGGAACATTTGTTTAGAGAAGTAAATGAACAAACAGAAACTCTTTAAACAGCCTTCATTCTTTTTCTATCATAAGAATTATAGTTACTACACTATGTCATTATGTTATTGTAATTTAAAAAAAAATATTTTTAGCTGTAGATGGACATGATATCTTTATTTTATTCTATGCGGTGCTGAGAATTGAACCCAGGGCGTCACATGTGCTAGGCAAGCGCTCTACCACTGAGCTGTGACCCTAGCCCCTATTGTAATATATTTGACACTGGAATTTTCACATTGGCTAGCACAATCACAGGGAAACCCAGAGGTGAGTTGACTTGAACATGGTGTCTAATTCCTCTCCTTCCTCTTTCTCTGAAGGACGGGAGTTAAGCACACAGCTGGAGCTGTTGAGGCTTTCTTGCCACCAAGACGGGAAAGCATATCTAATGATGAACCCAAAACAGAAGAAGCAGAGTGCAGAGGTGGTAGAGAGATGGATCTGATGCCATGCAAACCCTGACAAACCATGCTTGAAGCTTATCCTGGACTTCTTGGTTACATGAGCTGATATGTTCCCTTTTTAGGTAGGCCAGTTTGGAATCAGAGAAGTGTCAAGAGCAGAAGAGGTTAAACTCTCATGACCCAATGAAGAGAACTGCTTTACAGAAAGGTTAAATCAAGATTATCATTTGGATGGTAATCCTAGCTCCTACGTGGATTAACTGTGTGACCTTACTCAAATTACTCAACTTCACTCAGCCTGTTTCTTCAATTATAAAACATAACTAATACACATGTATACATCTACATAACTAATACCCCGTTACATACGTGGTCTTTTTTAAGACCACGTATGTAACGGGGTATTAGTTATGTAGATGTATACATGTGTCAGGATGCACTGAGCCGAACGAGGAAGGCCTGAGCATCCACTGTTTGCCAGTCACACCCAAACGATGGCATCTCGTGCTGTGGCTGGCACCTACGTCCACTAGACAGGAGAGGCTGCCTGGCTGTGTCTGGAGGGCTAGTGGCTGGGGTGAAAGACCCGGTAGCTAAGTCAAGGGGATAACAGCAGAGTGAGGAGAGCAGAGGATTGGGACAGAGCTGAGAGAACAATGACATTTCATTGGAAGACAGACGGGTAAGCTCACAGAGACCCTGAGAAAACAGTCTACAACGGGAGAAGGCCTTGAAGGGGTCTCTGGAATCAAGGACAGGGTGTTTCAAAGAGGACTGGGCAGCACTGTCCAGCTCCTGTGCGGCCAGCCAAATACCTGCGTTTGTCTTACAAAGGGACAACACCAACATCTGGCGTGGACCTTGGCTGTCAGGAGAGCTGACTTTGCTGTCTCAGTCTTATCAACGGGCCTCACCCTTACCGTCTGTCCCCACTTCCCAGGGAAGGGCCACTGTAGGAGCGACAGCTCCATCAGCCCGACATGCCCAAGAGCAGAATTAAGCACAAGCAGCTTGGGAATGGAAAGTCCTCAACCTGTGCCCCAGGAATGGGACAAAGAATCCATTCAGGCTCGCTTCTACCTTTTCTTCCCAGATGTTACTTTTACAAGTGAGTATCTGCTCTTATCTTTATAGATCTTTTTATTTTCACTCTTTCTCTTTCATATGGCTCTAACTCAGTTGTTACTTGGAAAACAAACAATAAATTCCTGTGTAAAGAGGAGGATCACCTAGGGATGCTTTCTTAATAGGAAAGAGTCCAGTCAGAAATTGTACTTATTTTTTAAAACCACATATATTAGGTAATGTTTAATCTGAATTATAGAAATGAGAAGTCATAAAAATAACAGTATTTGACCCTGAAAGTAATAACTCATTTTGAAGATAATCCTGGCCTAATACAAACACTCAGGTCAGATGGAAAGGAGAATATCAGCCACGTGTGAAATGGAATTGCAGGCTGAATGGAAGCAACCAGAAGGTCAAGGTTAGGATCATTGCAGGAAACAGTGGAGAGGCCCTTATCTGGAATGCCTGTGGCTTCAGGGTTTTGGCTTTGGGAACATCTGCATGCACATAATGAGCTCATTTATGCTTTGTCAGTATCTCATACACATGCCATCAAGATGACTTCACACAGTATTTTAAATAATTCTGTGTGTGAAACAAAGTTTTATGATGTAGAATGTTCTACCTGTATTTCATGTCTATGCTCCAAAAGTTTTAGAGTTTGGAATATTTAAGATTCTAGATTTTTGGATTAGAGATGCTCAATATGAAATAACACAGAAGACAGTGTTTGTATTATAGAATTTAAGGAAGGAAAACATTTATCACATCTAGATTTTTCATTAAAGATGAGATTAGGGATAGGAGTCTAGAAAGAAATTGGTATAGAAAGAGCGCTTGCCCAGCATGTGTGAGAACCTGGGCTTGATCCCTAGCACTGGGGGGCGGGGGGAAGAAAAAGATTAAATTAGTTCTTATTTCTAAAGAAGCACTGCAGCCTGAGGTGTGGAAAGTTCTCAAAACAAACATGCAGTTGGCCCCTACACTAGCTGTGTGGCTCCAGGCCCAGAAATCTACCTCTTACATCAATGGGGACACAGCCACAGCCACTCCTTTAGGGGCTTTGAGGACTGAGTGGGCTAAAGCACCTTGCACAGAGGTAGACAGCGTGTACTGAGCACCACACAGCTCTCCAAACGATCCCACTCTCCCTTATGCTCAGCAGTTCAGCTCTATACCACATTCTATTTTGTTCCAGCCCAAATAGTCTAATCTACCACTAAAGGTCTTCAAGAGAAACTTCCCTCTTGGAAACTCAAATATCTATTTTAGGTGAATAAAAACATTTTCCTCTAATTCTGAAAGTCATTCAGGTTTTCCAATAAAACTTATAAGCTACATAAAATAAACAGCCAGTGTACATGATGGAATTCAAGTGACTTGGGAGGCCGAGACAGGAGGATCATTAAATTCAAGGCCAACTTCAGCAACTTAGCAAGAACATGCTTCAAAATAAAAAATAAAAAAGGGCTGGGACCCAGATGCCTATCAATAGATGAATGGGTTAAGAAAAAAATGTACTTTTACTCAGCCACAATGACTTTATGAATGTGAGGGCAATCTGGCTGCAACATCTGTCACTCCATTGATTGCCAGGGTTGATTCGGCTGATCCCACTGGCTAGGCGGGTGTCCCCTTCCTCCCCCACAAGCTGTGCACTCAGACAACCTTCCCTGATAAAGGAGCACTGTTCTTCAGTCAAGAGTAGCTGCACTCCCCTGCTAGAACCTCCAAATGAGCTCTGGTGAATAATGACTTTATGACATTAGCTGGTAAATGGATGGAAATGGAGAACATCATGCTAAGTGAAATAAGCCAACTTCAGAAAATCAAAGGTCACATGTTACCGGGCACACACCTGTAATCCCAGCGGCTAGGGAGACTGAGATAGGAGGATTGTGAGTTCAAAGCCAGCCTCAGCAAAAGCAAGGCCCTAAGCAACTCAGTTAGACCCTGCCGATAAATAAATACAAAATTTACTGGGGATGTAGCTCAGTGATGGAGTGCCCCTGAGTTCAATCCCCAATATCCCACCCCCCCAAAAAAGTCAAATGTTTTTTCTCATATGTGGAAGTTAGAGTAAAATAAAGGAAAGAAAGGAGAGGGTCAGATATCATAAAGACACAGGCAAGATCAGTGGAAAAGAAGGAGCTTAAGAGGGAGAAAGGAAGGATGGGAAAGGAGGAGATGTGCTATGTATATACATATGCCACAGGAAATTTCACCTTTATGTATAAGTAGAAAGAACCAACCAAAAATAAATAAATCAGAAGAGCAAACGGAAGATCAGTAGAATAGAGGAGGGAGAAGCGGGAGGGAGGAAGGAGGGAAGAGTGGGGAGCGTGAGCTGAAATCAAAGGCCATTCACGCACCATTTCTTGGAGTAAACGCAACCCCAATGTTACTAGGTATAACCAAAATGCTATAAATAAATGAATACAATAAAGAAAAAAAAGGGGTGTAACTTAGCAGTAAAGTGTCCCTGGGGCTAGCCCCAATACTAAAAATAAATAAATAAATAAAATATTTCTCTGCATAGAGATAAAACTGAACATTCTGAAGTATTTCTTCTTTTATGGCTATTGTTTTACACAATTGAGATCATACTGGTTACAATGCTGTTTGTTATTTTTAAATTTAACTTACTATTTTCTTGTGTCAATATAAAGCTCATAAACAAAGTTTTAGTAGCTATAATAATAATAGCAGCTAAGATCACCTCTCAATGCTCACTAAGTGGCAGGCATAGTATGTGAGCATTAGTTCTTTTGATTCTCACAATTCCATGTGTTTGGTGCTACAGTAATTCCCACGGTGCCCAAAGACAACCAGATGTGCCATGTGAGCTGGAGCCATAGTCAGGACGCAGATTTCATAAAGACCCTTTCAGGGAAGACTATCCCACTCAAGGTTGATGGATACCATAGAATATGTAAAGGCCAAGATCCAGGATGAGGGAGGAATTCCTCCTGATCAGCAAAACCTGACCTTAGCTTGTCAGCACAGGAAGAAGGACATACTTGGTCTGACTACAACATTCAAAAGGAGTCCACCTTTCATCTAGTGCTGAGGCTGGTGGTGCTAAGAGGGCTTACCCCACTCCCAGGAAGAACAAACACAAGAGAAAGAACATTAAGTTGGCTTTCCTGAAATACTGTAAGGGGGACGAAAATGGCACAGTTATTCACCTTTGCCGGGAGTGCCCTTCAGATGAATGTGGCACTGGAGATTTTATGGCGAGCCACTTTGACAGACATTATTGTGGCAACTGTTGTCTGACTGATTAATTCAACTAACTAGAGGACCAATAATGTGTGACAACAACAACAACAAAAAGACAGAACACAGCTCTGGCTGGGCGTGCCCAGGGGACACCTCACCTCCCTGCCTGTTCTTATTCCTTCCCCAACTCGTTTCCCCGAGTGTTGCCATTTAGGTTGTTCCCTGGTTTCTACTACAATCAATAACGCTGCAGTGAATATTTCAGTATATACTATCTGGTCATGGTGTACGTGAGCTCCAGAAGAATTACTGGGCAAAGAATATGAATGTTTTTGAGGATTATATATATATATATATATATATATATATATATATATATATATGTGTGTGTGTGTGTGTGTGTGTGTGTGTGTGTGTGCACGCGTGTGCAGCCATATTGCAAGGATGTTCTACCAACTAATCATCTCAGTCAAATTTCTACACTAATTTTGAAAGGCCTTTCCCTAAGGGCACCATGGAATGTAGCTAGGAAGCTAGGTGGCCCCCTGCGGCGCACAACTGCTATGATCGTAGCTGGAGAGTACTGTAGGACTAGCTACACCCCAGCCCTTGTAATTTTTTATGTTGAGACAGGGTCTTGCTAAGTTGCCCAGACTGACCTGGAACTTGTGATCCTCCTGCCTTCCAAGTAGCTGGGATTATTGATGTGTGCCTAGTTGAGAAGCAACTTTTAAACAGCTTCTCCACACTTATGCTTATTATATTAGTACCAAATACAATTTGACTGGTCTTACCATGTCACCAAAAGGAGGAAAAAAAAAAAAGAGGGGGGAGGCAAATGAGTCCCCTTTAAGCTGGCTGAGTTGTGGAGCGGGAGAAGAGCTCTGATAAATAGGGCTGCCTGACACTTGGGCAGCAAGGGCTCAATTACTTGGGCAGGGTATCAGCCAATGACTGGCACCCCAGCTTCCTTTGCAGCGAGGGTACTGGCACCCAGCCTAGATGCTGCCAAAAATGTACCCAGGTGAAGCTTCTGAATTGGAAGCAGGCAATGTGAGAAAGTGGGCAGGAGGGAACACACATCTTTTGGAAGAGTGGACAGCAGTGGCACCCAGACCTCTGGGGAGAATGGAGGAGGGTTCCTGGCATAGTAGGCATGAGCTGTGGGCAGCCCATGGAGCACAAGAGCATTCCTTCAGGCTGGGTGCCCCCACGCCCAGTTCCCTGGTCTTCCAGAGATTCTACAGCCTTCCTACCTAGCACCACATCTGGTCTGCCCCAGCTCTGGAGAATGCTCACAGGGGCTCTGATCCCAGGGAAGGGCACATGGTGACAAGTACTCCAGCTTGGTACTAATTGTACTTGGTACTAATATAATTTTATGCATGTGCTGTCATTTTCCATAAGCACACAAAGGTTTTACCCAGTGGCCAAAACAGAATTCTTATAATGACATGTTCTGCCTTAATTCCTCATGATGTAATAAAATTTTCATTCTGCCTCATCCTGCTTTTCCTAATTATCATCTTCTAAAGTTATTAACATTGTGAACAAAAGAACCACAATTTCATCAGCAATTATGGTAAAAATTATGTTACTTCCAGGTTTTCAACATTGTAAAAATGTTAAAATGAGCATCACCCTGCACTGAGTTCCTCTCTGCATCAACAACCGCAGGGAAATGAACGAGCCCGAGATGGGCACTGCAGTGGGTCTCACCTGTGGTGCGCAGCTGCTTTGCAGAAGGACTGTGTGACCCTCAGCTCAAACACCAGCAGGGCCCAAGGACATCAGTTCTGTCTCCCCTTCCCTAGCACTGCATGAGCAGAGGGTACTGTGGGGAGGTTGTGGATAGCGTTTTTCTTGTCTTGTTCCTCTAGTGCTTAGCATTCCCAGCATCCCTCGCAGCTAAGGTGAAGGCAGGTGCACAGCTGAGACGCTGACCAGCAAATGCATCATGCAGCCTCATATCCAATAAGAATGTGCTGGCTTTATTCACCTAAAAACTCCCTCAAGGATAAAAGTGTAAAGAGGGAACCCGAGGATTTAAGAGAAACCTTACTGTGGCCATAACCACCCTTTTGAGGCCACTTTACAAATCGTTCAATAGGCAACCGCCTGGGTGTTGTGTCTAAAAAGTTCCTCAGCTCAGGCTAACAGGGGTCGGGGAGGCTCATGACTCTGACCTCCATTCAAATGCCAGAGGCAGCCTACACTCAGACCTTTATCTGAGCAATTCAAGTTTTCTCTTAAAAGTCAAAAACTAAAGTGTTTTTCACTAAGTTGCTTCATTATCATTCAATCTTTTTTCTGTGTCATTATCTCCCATGTTCCTCCTTCTGGGACTCCTGTTAGACAGATGTTAGAGCTGCTCATAGTGCCACTCAGGACCCCGGGGCTCTGCTGCCATATTTTTTCTCCCTGGCCTGATGATCTGTGGGATGCCCTGTTCTGCTGAGCTACACCTTGATGATCTCAGGGGATGTGGTCCCTGTCCCCTGACTGCACTCCCTCCCGTCATCCCCACCTTTGCTGGATGTTCTCAGGGCCTTGTGCATTCTAGGTATGCATTGTAATATTGAGCTATACCCCAGCCCTTGCCTTTTTTGATGCCACAACACCCCATCCTTTCCTCCTACATGCCATTTTCCTGTTCCTTCCTTGATTAACAATCTTTCTCTTTCACCTAAATGACTACAGTGAGGATTTAATCAAGCTTTTATTTCCTATTTCCTATTGAAAATGCAAAGTTTTTAATTTAAAAGTAGCAGGCAACTCAGTTCCACTGTTTGGTAAGCTGGTATAACTGTTAATGTGATTTAGAAAACCAAAACCAAGTACTCCTATTAAGCCATTCTAAGGAAGCAAAACCAACTGGGGGAATGTTCTGGTTTCAATCTGACATCATCCTGTGTTTTGAGTGGGGAAATACATGTAATCCCTTCACCGCAGCATATAATATACGCATGGTTACCCTGGTTTCACATGGTACAAAGAAAAAGAACAAAACTTTAGTGACTTTGCTTATTAGATCTTGAAACATTCACCTCTCCAAATAAGACACTAATCACCTGGTGCTGATTTCACTTGAGCATAAGCACTAATGCAAATACACTAAACTGGGAACTTGCTGTTTACCAACCAACTTGAGTACTGCACTTTTGCAATCTTTGCAGCTTGTCTGTTACATTTGCAAAATAAACTTGCTGGAAATTTCTTAACACTGCGGTTCTTAACCATTTAGAATTTAGGGATCCCCTTGAGATTCTGATAAAAGATGTAGACTTTTCCCAGAAAACTTTCTTTTGTGTGTGGTGCTGGGGATTGAACCCAAGGCCTTGTGCATTTGAGGCAAGCACTCTACCAACTGAGCTATATCCCCAGCCCCTGCCCAGAAAACTGCAAATACACATTTTGCATGCCATTTCAGGGAGTGTGTGACCTGTGTAAAGCCTCCCCGGCTCTGTGGAGCAGTGCTTGCCCCAGCAGCTGGGCACGTGCCACTGACAGGCGCCCACAGCACTCGGCGCTCTCTCTTACCATTGCTCTTGCCTCCTCACGAATGGATGGAATAGAAAGGATACTGTACAGAGCTCCGTTCACATATGGCTGTATCTTTAAGGGGAGAAAAAGACAGTCAATTGCAAGTTTTCAAATACCACACAACTCAATTATCAAACACCACAGCTGGCTGAGGAGGAGAGGGCGTCCATCTCTCCGGAGTTCAGGATGCATGTTTTCAAAGAACAGACATCTCTATTTGTATGTTCTAGGGATCTCTACAACCAGGAGTCCAAAACCAAGGCCATCTCTCTGCCCAAGGCCTCCTCCTGCTATACTCCACTGCTTAAGTCATTTCTATCCTCCTGGTCACGGAGCCTGGGAACTTTAGAGTCGTCACGGATTGCTCGGAACTCCCTGGGTTCGGTCCTTGAAAGGAACCTTCTATTCCACATCTGTTGCTGCCGTCCTGTTCACACATCGCTGTGAACAGCCTCCATCAGACCTCCAGCCTCCACCCGACACCCACCCTTTAACCCAACCATCCTATCATCGCTGAAATTCTACAGCATGGGCTGATTGTTCCTGCCCCCCCCTCGGGAGCCTTCCAAGCGCCCATGGCGAAGTCCTAGCTTCTTCCACACACTGTGTGTACCACACACACAGGCTCCTCCAGGGGCCGGTGCCCACACCACCCGCTCTGCTCTTCCCTCTGTACTGCCCAGGGTGCCCACACTACTTGAAGGACCCCCGCCACATGTTCCTGGTGCACGCACCTCAGCCCTGGCTGCTGCAGTTTCCCTTATGGGAAAGCTCTTCCCACATGTCCATCTGGACAGCTGATTCTGCCTTTCAAACCAAGCTCCGACACAGATTCTAGGAAGCTCTTCCTGAAAGCTCTGCACACGGTGCTCACTTCTGCTCCCTGTTCAACCCTCTACTGCTCTCCTGAATTCTGTGACTTTTTTTTTTTTTTCTTGTACGGGAGATTGAACCCAGAAGCATTTTTTTTAAATTTTTAATTCTGAGATAGGGGCTTGCTAAGTTGCCAAGGCTGGCCTCGAATTTGTGATCCTCCTGCCTCAGCCTCCCAAGTAGTTGGGATTAGAGGTGCGTACCACTGTGCCTGGAGACTCTGTGGGTGGTTTTTTTTGTTGTTGTTGTTTGTTTGTTTTAAATATACAGGAAGTCTCTTCCTTTAGGACCTCTGAGGAGAGGACCATTCTTAAATCATACAGATAACACCAACATTAAATGAACACAGGACAGGTCACAGCTGGCTTGATGAGTGAGAGTCACCTGTTCTGTGGACTGTGTGCTGCTCTCTCCACAGGCAGAGAGAGGGCACACTGGCCACCACCCTTCCTAGCTTCCTAGCACTGGGCTTTCTCTCTCTCTCTCTCTCTCTCTCGGTTCTGGGGATTGAACCTAGGGTGACTTTACAACTGAGCCACATCTCCAGTGCTTTTGAGTTTTTATTTTGAGACAGAATCTCGCTAAGTGCTGCAGCTGGTCCTGAACTTGCAGTCCTCCTGCTTAAGCCTCCCAAGTCCCTGGGATTTCAGGCGTGTGCCACGGTGCTCAGCTAAGAGCTCAGTGGTTTTTAAACATAAAATGCATGGCACAGACTTTAACAGCCCCTGAACTCCACCTGCTGAAGAAACCAGGTCCTCAGCAATGATGCTGTGAGCCAGGAGCTGTGGGTGAAGGGAGTGGCTGGAGCCATCTGCCTGGAATGGGATGGACCAGTGGGAACCCAGGGCTCCCTCGTGACCCTGTGGTCTTGTTACTGTGTCCTGCTAATATGCGCCCCTGCACCTGGTCCATGGAAAGAGGTCTGACTTTGGCTGCAGGTGAAAGGCAATGTTGTAGCTTGTACAAAGGCGTTTGCAAAACACAAGAGAAGCATCACCTTTGCTGGTTTTTGTTGATTTGTCTTCCTACAGCTCTATTTCACTTAAACAAGGTTTATGGTCCATAAGCTACGAAACTTGGAGGATACCACCAGGTGGGAGGGGATGCTGGTGAGAACAGCTGGTCCAGCTATTCTAGAGGACAATCTGGGGAGACTCAGCCATAACCTGGTGTATGCTGCGAGTCGGTGGTGAAAAGGGTCCACACCCTGGGGAAGCTCTGCGCAGGCTCGGGTGGGCAGGTGCCTCACTGAGGACAGCTGTGGCAGCAGAGCCAGAGACGACCCAGTGTCTACCCCTGGGGGACAGGTAACATGGAGGGGCGTGGCAGTGGCGAGACTGAGTGAACCAGGGGCATGTACAGGAGCCCAGGAAGGTCCCAGCAGCACAGGAAAACTCACACCACACAAGCTCCACACAGGCAGGGTATGGCACAGATGCGGTATCATGTACTTTAAGGCCACATTTGTACCTACTATGGACAACGTTAATGCGAGCGCTGACGCTGGGGGGAGATGAAGCCGAGAAAGACAATAAGGAGAAAAAGTGAGGTACAGCAAGGAACATCCCAAAACACGAGGACTTGGGGACACACTCCCTGCTCTGAGCTCCAAACTTTTAGATTATAAAAGATTTGAAGTCGTTCATAAAAATACCTGCAGGAGGGAGCATGTGTATACTTGTCAAATGCAGCCACTGCTGCAGGCCAGCCCCTTGGCTGCAGGTTCCAGGCACCGAGGGCCCAGTGTACCCCCACACCCGGGGCCAGCAATGCTGACCGAGTACCTCGTGATTTTCGTGGCCAAGGAGATCCGAAAGGACTTTCAGCACCAGGCCTGCCACCTTGGCACACATGTTCTTCCCTGTGGGACCAAAACAAAACATGACGCATCTGAACTTGGAAGCACAGTTTCACGTCAGGCAGACCTGAGGACAAATCTGGCTGGTCTGTTTATGCTATGTTGTGATGGAAGGCAACCCCAGGCCTGGGTATAAAAGGAAATCAGAACACTGTTATGGAAAACTACAGTGCCTGGGAAAAGGACAGTCCCCTCCCGTTTGGACTGTAAATAACTACCTGCAGGGATCTACTCCCCTTTGAAGTGCTGCGGCTTAGCCCAAGGCTAGAGATTTATTGGAGGCCTGTGAGAAGAGCCAGTTCCTCCCCTTTTCACACTCTGTTTCTGTAAACCTACTCCTGCTAGAAACTAGAAATTTTATGGCACCAGATAGTCTATTAATGTTGTGAGAAACTACAGATGGGGGCTCAGAATTTGGAGTGGGACCTCCTCTGGGACCACGGGCATAAAAATAAAGTTTGAGCTGTCCCACTCTCCAAGTGCCCTTTGCCGCTTCTTAAAGGGTCTGATTCCAGCAACAATGTGACTGTGGGCCTCAGTGTCCTCCTCTTTAAAACAGCAATTATCTACCTGAAAGGCTGATGGAGAATTCAGTGAGGTGGTGGACATGAAGGACTTAAAGTGGCGTGGAGCCCCCAGTGCCCAGTAATGGGCTATGGCTATTACTGAAGTCGGCACAGACTGATCCCGTACAGGTGGTGGTGCCACCACCTCCCTGAACAAGCAGGGAAACGGCTTATGATGCTCAGAGAACCTCCACCACCAGGAAGGGGTGAGAAAAGGATTAGGAGCAGGAAGCACGGTTAATGTCACTGCTCCCGCCACCAACTTAATCCTGGAGAATGCTGGGCGCACAGTCCTCAGTCTTCAGAATAACGTAATGAAGATGAAGGAAAACACGAATGAATTCAATCTCCTCTTCCTGTGCGAAGTGCATACATACAAACGCTCTTTCTAAGGCCAGACCGTATTTTGGCCTTGGGGACTTAACAGCTCTATACCTAGCTGGAAATACTTCAGGCTGTCTTTTCTTTTTCTCTGAGGGAGACAAAAAGCAAGCCCCCCCCTGGGCTCACTGGGAACCTGGGCTCTGGTCAGGATCTCTTCTCACACCCCCATACCAGAAAATACAGGATGGGGTGAGACCTGCGCTGCGGAGGCAGAGGTTCATGAGCAAAGCCACGGCGTACTCCAGTGTGTAGTCAGACAGGCAATCCGGGTCCTTCAGAATGTCAATCAGCCAGAAGATGAGGCCGTCTCGAATCATCGCTGTCTGCAGTGGGCGCCTGGGACGAAAAAGGCCTGAGGTAAATTAAAACTGGCAGGCGGGGCTTGTCACACAGGAGATACAACTCTGCGTCATAAAAGAAAGCCTATGGAAGATATAGACTCCGAGGCATTTTTTTTTTAATTATTATTAAGCTGGTACAAATGAAATAACAAAATCCTTTACTTTCAGGGATACGATGAAGCGTTTAAAGGAAGAAGTAATAAGGAGGCTTCCTCCTTTGAAAGTTTCCTTTTCCATATTTAAAATTAGCAGAGTATTACTCAATTTGTGTGTGTGTGTGTGTGACTACTGGGGATTGAACCCAGGGGTGCTTTACAACTGAGCTCTCTCTCCAGCCCCCAACTTTTTTAAAAAATTTGAGACAGGGTCTCACTAAATTACTGAGGGTCTCACTGAGTTGCTGAGGCTGTGATCCTCCTGCCTCAGCCTCCCAGGTGGCTGGGATTACAGGTATGTACCGATGTACCCAGCTTATTTCAAATATTTAATGAATATTCATCGACAGCTTTTGGTCTACTTAAATCAGGAAACAGGGCCACGGTAACACTTCTTTGAAAAATAGATTTTTGTCTCAACCCTATATAATGCAGCACAGGCACTTTGAGCTGAATGAAAATAAAAACAAAAAAGAGCAAGACCCAGCTCAACAGCATTCTGACTCGGATCTCTACAGACGAAGAGTATGGCTTAATAACCCGGGAAACAGAAATTTCACCCAGCATCCAGTGTAAGATTTTACAGAATCCAATACCTCTTCACAACATATAATGGCGGATGTCATCATGTTAGCCTTAAGAACAGATGTCACCAAGCACAGTGCCACCATGAGAAGCCAACAGAATGATGTGAACATGTGAACACCAGAGAGCAGCCAGCACTTGCCTCTCCTAATCAATGAGTTATGGTAAAATGACCGCCCAGGAAGAAGGAGCAAGTAACTGTTCAGGCCATTCCTGTACCCACACAGACCTGACCGGTGTGGCCTCTTGGAACACATGGAGACTGCTCTCTGGGCAAGCCCACTGCTTTCTAATTTTATTGCAGAGACCCTGGAAAGCTGCAAAAAACATTAGGCCCATTTCTACATTACCAGAAAGAACTATTTCTTCACCCAGTCTTTTATCTGTACTTCAGTTTCCTAAACATAGTCACCATGAAGCTAAGCTGTTGTGTAGGTAAACGGGAGCAAAGTGTTCGGACAAACTGAGCAGGAATAACTGGACAAATCACTTGCAGCTCTTTTCAGTTCATGAGTTACTACAAGAAATTGCCACCGGCAGGGACGTGGATGACAGCAGACCCTGAGCCTGTCCCTTTCCCCGTGAAGCATGTACCGATTAGATTACTTCACTCTGTAGGCTTCTGGTAATTAGGGAAAGTCAGTCCAATGTTAGCATCTGACGGGGAAAGCATGTTCAGAAGAGGGTGGGCAAAAAGCTGGAGGTTCTGGAATTCTTCAAAAAGTCAAAGATAAAATGAGGCAGTGCTGAGGGAAGCTGAACTCTGAAGATTTGCCATCTCCCTGGCAATTCCACTCCCAGAAGCCTCTCAAGGAAATGCAAATGCACCCTCACGCTGAGACTCACAGGCAAATGTCCACAGTAGCACTTTGCAAAACAGATAAAACAATGAAAACAATTCACACATCCATTGACTGAGATACAAAACAGGGCCTCTCTATCAGATGGAAGGCTATTCGGCAATAACAAGGAACAAAGCACTGACAAGGGCTAGGACAAGAAGGAACCGTGAAAACATTACACTAAGTGAAAGACGCTGTCACAAAAGGACACACATTATCTGATTCCATTTGTGAAACATCCAGGACAAGTCAGTCTACTGAAAGGAGTTTGGTGGTCATAAGGGCTGGGGCAGGAACAAGGAGGGACTGTAAATGGTACAAGGTTTCTTTTCGTGGTCATAGAAATATTCTAAAATCAGATTGTAGTGATGGCTGCGCACCTCAGCAAATCTGCTAAAAGCCATTGACTTCCACACTTAATATGTGAATTTTATGGTAAGGAAAGTATACTTCAATAAGCTCTCAATTTATAAAAACCTCTAGCAGGTGCCAGATCGGTTCAACAGTACGTGATTTTTCAATTTCTGACGGGGAGCTTCCAAGTCACAGCAGGAGGGTTCTGGGACGGACACACAGGGGCTAGAACCCCAGGGTAAGATACACAAGGAGAAATGGCAGGGCCTGTGCTGTGAGCCACTGGTCTCCACAACTGGGGCAGCCAAAGAATGCTTTTGGCCACACTCCCTGTGTCCTCGAGACAGCCCTGACTCCCAGGGGCTGCCAATCACACAGAGGACTAGAGACAACTTGAAGAGTATTCATGTTTGTCTCTCAACCTCGCATGTGGCCTGAGACACAATCCAACAATTCAGCACCTGGAGGGCACTAATGACCTACTGGACACCACCAATGTCCCCTGGAAAACTGTGCCTCCATTCCCAGCAGACTTGTGTAGCAGCTTACTGGAGGAGAGAGAGGCTTTCTATATCTGTCTCGGAAAATCACCCAAACTCTCCTAAGTGTTCACAGAAAAACACCATCTGCCTCCCAGGTTATGGGAATTAAATAAGCACTAAATGGCAGCTTAAAAAACTCAATCAGGCTCCACAGGACCCCCCATGACCTATGGCATGATCATCACCTGAGACTGAACTTCTGCAGGGCCCCAAGAATATTTTCCCGGGTGATGACGTCCTTGTCCTCCTCCTTCAGCCTTCCCTCCAGCATCCGCAGCACCTTAGTGTTCTGGGCCAGGTAGAGGCGGCCTAACGATACCCCAGACGAACAGGGGAGAGAGGAAGAATTAATCTGGTGGGCTCCAAATCACTTGCTATGGAAACTTTGCATGTAACACAGCAACTTTGCATATTAGATAATTTTTTGTTCTAAAAGAAATCATTAAAATGCATTTCTTCTAAGAGTTGTTTTATTCAATCAACTATGTAATGAGGAGAAATCACTCTTCACGATCGCCATGTTCCTGTGGGGAGCACTGTCTTCCATGCCTGCAGTCTGAACCCCACAGTGAGATGTGCACGGAGAAAAGGCAGGGCCTGTGCTGTGAGCCACTGGTCTTTGCAACAGGGGCAGCCAAGGAACGCTTCTGGTCACACTCCCTGTTCCTCGACGCAGGCCCAGGCTGGAGAAGGTGGAAGCCATAGGGAGGATCCTAGAATACGCCTTGAATGGGCACTGACCTGCTGTGGACTTCTTGGTGACAGACAGGTGTGATGTTTGGACACAAGTGTCAACAGTGCAATGGCACATCCCCTAGACTATAATAAATGTCTGCTGAATGAATGCGATAATGAACAGATGAATGGATAATAAAATTTTGGAGTATTGTGTATCCATAATTTGAAAACTCTTTTTATTTCCATTTTATTTCCACAGCTCAAATAAGTAAGAATTATGGAAAATAACGGCCCTTTGCAAGATCATTTTTAATTCATTTATGGTGGCATGTTATTTTTTAAATTCTCAAATCCTTTAATTTAAGAGATTATATTCTATTGATGGAAGTGGTACACTGCTTATTGGAATCAGCTTTCATTGCTTCACCAACCTTATTTTGCCTTTAAGTAGAAAACTATAGAAAAAGCATAACCTGTTACATACTTGAAAGTAATCTAAATAGTATTGTTCTAGCCCAAAGTGATAAAACAAGAAGGGTTACAAAATCAGCTCTTTCGAAAGAAACAAAATTTGCTGACAGAGATTACAGCATGGGGCTGGGGCTGGGGCCCAGTGGTAGAGCACTTGCCTAGCATGTGTGAGGCACTGAGTTCAATTCTCAGCACCGCCTATAAACAAATAAGTAAACAAAGGTCCATCAATAACTAATAAAAACAAATTAAAGCACTATGACAAGAATGTTTAATTTTTACAAGAGACTTCCAATGAATTAAACAGTAATAAAATGAGGAAACATATTTCATCTTTAAGAAATGTGGGGGGAACACCTGCACAGAGCCGCTCTGCTCTGCTCTGCGAAGCTGTGCCTTACCTTCTGCTAGTGACGCCAAAGCGTTGACGAGCCTGGCCATGTACTGCCGCACCACCTCGCTCTTGGAGTGCAGCAACTGCAGCACGCTCCTCTGTGGGGACGAAAGTGGAGAGGACGGGGGCTCCGTGAGGAGGGGGGCAAGGTGACAGCCGCCTCAGCAGCTCTGGTTGCTCCCTTCCTCTGCCTGGACTGACTGGAGGGGACAGACCAAAGCCAAACTTCTCCTCTGGAAGTCTTGGTTTCAAATAACACCTGATGCGACTTGGCAAAAAGAATTTATCCAGACTTCTAAATTAGATGAATTAACCACGCAAAACACGCAGCACAGCCGCTGGCACACAGGAAGCGAGGCTGTTGGCTGTCACTATTGCTGAGCGTCACCAGGTCAGGGCATCTGAGCTGGCTTCCTCCAATCCACAGCAGGCTACAGGAAAAGGGTTTTCTAAATTAAGCTGGGTGTAGGGGTGGGCCCAGAGAAGCAGAAGGCTGAGGCAGGAGGATCGCAACTTAGTGAGACCCTGTCTCAAAATAATCAATAAAAGGACTGAGTGAGTGGTAAAGTGCCCCTGGATTCAGTCCCAACTTCAAAAATAAATAAATAAATAAATAAGATCTAAATTAAGGACTGAACCAACAGAACGAAAAATGTCAACGCTACTCTAAAAGTGGCAATGCAGGCCTGGAACACCAGACCCAAGGCCACAGTGGGCAAGGGGGAAGCACCCAAGTTCCACTGCGTACTCCCCAAAAGGCCAACGGACTGGGGGAACCAGACAAATGAGTGAAAAGTGTTAAAGAAGCAGCTGGACTCCATGCTGCTCCTGTCACCTCCAAGGGTGGTGCAGGGGCACAGGGGTGTTCTTATGTGAGGGTGGCATAGAGGGTCTCTGGACTGGGGACAGTAGGCTCAGGTGGGCTAGGTTCTGCACCAAATGGAGGGGGGTGTCTAAATAAAGAATGAAAAAGCTTCCCCCCCGACTTGGCTCCCAGACCCTGACTCTGGCAACCAGATCCTTACCTCTCTGCAGGACACAAGGAGACTCTTCTCGGAGGAAAGTGACCACCCCAGGGCAAAGAACTAGAGACTGAAATCAGTGGCTCCCAGCCCATGGCCCCTCAGCTCTCCTCAGTGGAGCTGAGCCAGAGGAAAGGCTCTGACATGGAAAACAGAGCCAAAGAGGGGGCCTCCCTGGAGACCAGACTGTGAGCGAGAGGAGAACCAAAACTAAATAAAAACTTTGTCACCAATACCTCGAGACATAAGAAACTGTATTGTATCCAGGAAAGAAGCAAATGCTCTGAGTTAACAAAAAACTCAACAGGAACTATGGAAAATATAAACAAAGAAACCTCCTAGAAAGTACAACAAAAAGAAAAAGATAGAGAATATGAGAGAAAAATTAACAAAACAACAGTTCAGAAGGGTTGACATTTAGGAAAAGAGAAAACAGAGGAAAAAAAATCATCAACAAAATAAAGAAAATTCCCAGAAATAAAACTATCAGATTCAAAGGGCCCACAACAAGGGACCAAAATGCACTTCATGAAGCACATCCAGGGGGACCTCTGAATTGTGGTGATAAAGAGAAGACTCACCATGCTCCCATGTGCTTCTAGAGAGGAAAAAAGACCACATACAAAAGATCAGGAATCAGAATGACTTTGGATTCTCAACAACAAAACTGGAACCCTGGGCTGGGGTTGTGGCTCAGTGGTAGAGCACTTGCCTCACATGCGCGAGGCACTGGGTTCAATCCTCAGCACCACATAAAAAATAAATAAATAAAATAAAGATTAAAAAAAAAAAACTGGACCCCTAAGGTTCTAGGACGGTGGTCCACATGCCTGTAGTCCCATTAATAGGGAGGCTGAGGCAGGAGAATTGCAGTTCAAGGCCAGCCTCAGCAACTTAGCAAGACCCTATCTCAAAATAAAAAATAAAAAGGATCGGGAGTGTAGCTCAGTGGTAGGGCACCCTGGGTTCAATACCCAGTATACAAACAAAACGAAACAAAACTGGAACCCAAAGACAACAAAGTAATGTCTTCAAAATTCTTTTTTTGGGGGGGAGTGAACCCAAGGGAAGTTTACCACTGAGCTACATTCCCAGCCCTTTATATTTTGAGACAGGTTCTAAGTTGCCCAGGCTGGCCTTAGACTTGGGATTCACCTGTCTCAGATGCCCAGGTTGCTACGATCATAAGCATGTGCCACCACAACCAGCAAATGTCCCCAAATTCTACAGAAAATTTATTTACAACCCAGAATTCTACACAAAAAACAAAGATATTTTCATTCAGGCACAATCTCAAAAGCCAAACTGCCAGGTGGTCTCCGTGTAGGGACTATGACTAAAGGATGCGCTCCACCAACTGAGAGAGCAAGTCAAGGAAGAGGGCGATACCGGAGAGAGGGGACAATGGCTGGAGTTGGGTGCGGAGATGATTGGATGACAGCTCTGAGGCACATGCAAAGGGCCACAGCCCACAGGGAACAGAGGTGACTCGAGGACACTGCATTGAGGGCTTCATCTCCTGCTTCCTGTACACATTCTATATTTACTTTTTATTGTAGTCTAACAATTATATAGAAGATGGCACAGGTCATAAGTACAGAACTCTGTGAGTTTCCACAGTGAACATGTGGGTGACAAGTAGCCAGGTCAAGAGGCAGAACATTATTATAGCCTCAGGACCCCCTTCCAAACTGAGGGAGACATTTCTTTCCTGGCTTCTTCTGCCACAGATTTATTTTGCATGTTTTCGAATTTTTTACAAATGAAATCATATTTTGTATATTCTTTCATGCCTGACCTTTTCACCCAACTTTTTTTTTTTAGGTTTGTGAGATTCACCCATGTTCTCTCTGTGCTCCTTCTCATTGCTCTCTGAACCCCATCTCGCAAATCTATCACAGACATTCATTCCTACTGTTGATAGACATTTGGGTTGCATCAAGCGTTTGGGATCTTATAAAGCAGTACCACTCTTGGACTTATTTTTGCAGAGGGGCACCTAGGATTGAACTCAGAGGCACTCGACCACTGAGCCACATCCCAAGCCCTATTTTGTATTTTATTTAGAGACAGGGTCTCACTGAGTTGCTTAGGGCCTTGCTTTTGCTGAGGCTGGCTTTGAACACGAGATCCTCCTGTCTCAGCCTCCTGAGCAGCTGGGATTACAGGCCTGCACCACCGTGACCGATCTTGGACATTTCTGAGTGAACACATGGACCCGTTTCTGTTGGAGTACACCTAGAAGTGGTTTGCTAGACATAAGCTGTGCAGTCTCAGTAAACGCCACAGGTATTCCAAAGCAGTGCACCAGGGTGACTTTTAAACAGGGAGCTAAATGCTTCAGAAAAAGAGCTCAGAACCAAGACCCGGAGAGGCGCCCCTCCTCCCCCCACACCTGCAGTGTGGACAGCTGTGGACCGTCTTTCCACCCCACAGAAGGGTTCTCACAAAATCAAATCCTGAGAACCAGAAGCAGACCAGCGAGCTTAAAGGCTGAAATACAAAGTGGCATGTTCTGTAGTCCCATCCCAGCTACTAAGGAGGCAGGGGCAGGAGGATCACTTGAGCCCAGGAGTTCAAGACCAGCCTGGCCAACAGGGTGAGACTCTGCCTCAAAAAAAGAAAAAAAAAAAAGCCAAAATACCGAGAGCTCAGCACTGGCTTTCTCTGCCATACACCCATGTATACTATCGCTGGACAACTAGTACCTGGCTGGCCTTTCCATCCTGCCACATGCCCTGCTTCCCAGGACTCTCTCCTGACCCTGCCTACTAATGTCCCCAGAGGGGATCAGTAAGTGCCCGGGAAAGCTGTGCCCCACTATTATCCAACCATCCATTCATGCCACCTTCTCCCAGTGCCCCCATCTAACCTGAGCACAACTCCACCTCCCTGCAGAGCAGGGTCTGTGCCTGCTGCTCAGCACAAAGTCAGACGGCACATGCAGGACTCAGGGATGGATGGGAAGCTATAAAGACAAGCAGGAAATGATTCACACCAAAGTCAGGATGTGAACATCCATTTTGTAACAGCACTGTTCTCAGCAGCCAAAAGGAGAAAGAAACCCATGTGTCCATTGATGGATGAATGGATAAGCAAAATGAGGATTGTAAGGCTAATACATGGAATATGATAATCTAGCCTTTAAAAGGAAAGAAATTCTGATATATACCTGAATAATAACATGAATAAACCTCAAGGACATTATGGTAAGTGAAACAAGCCAGTCACAAAAAACCCCAATACTATATTAGGTCCAAATCATGGGGACAGAGCACAGGATGGTGGTTTCAGGGCCGGGGGAGAGGGGAAGAGGAGCTGTTGCTTAATGGGCACAGGGTCAGTATTATAAAGTGAAAAGAGCTGCTCATGGAGACGCACGGGGGTGGCGACTTGCCATCATGACTGTATCTAACACCACTCAACGTTTAAAGTGGTTAGGAAGGTAAATTTTATGTGATGTGTGTTTACCACAAGATTTAAAGGTAGGACAGTGTTTCCTTCTAGGGGAAAGGCCAGGGCACAACCGGAAGCACCAGGAGGTTAGACGGCCTGAATCTGCTTCCCTGTCTGTGCACCCTGAGTCGCGCTCCGTTTTCAGGACTCACGGTAAGCAGCGGGAGGAGGGAAAGAGTTGAGAATTGGAGAAAAAGAAAACGACAGAAGGAGCCGCGGAGAAGAATGAAGCAGGTCCTGCTAACTCGTTCAGGACTCCTCGCTAGAAGCAAACTCAGACTCCCCAGCTCACAGGGTCAAGGCTGACGCCCAAGGAAACAGAAGCTCCCCACCTGCTAGGGTCAGTCCCGAGGACCGCAGGCCCTGGCTGACCTCTGCCCACCTCTTACCCACCTGGTTGTGGCTATGACAGTCCAGGAGGTCATTGCTGATGTACGCCTGCAGAACTGTCTCCCTCTGCTCCCCAGGATGGGATGTGGTCAAGCGCTGGAGGGAAGAAAAACAAAAGTAACAGGACCTAAGTGTTAACAGGAGAAAAACTCCCATATAGCAGCTATGGTTTAAACGGCAGTTAAAACTCCACCAGTGACTATACACTGAACCAAGCAAAATAAATACTAGCCAAGTGGGGAGGTTGGTTAGCCAGCCAGCCAATCAATAAGGTGATGTGGGGGACATCTTAGGAGATGGGTGGTGTCGGGGATAGTGGAGTCAGCTTCATATGTGAAGTCTCCTCAGAGGGAAAGGGGCATGATGCCCAGGTCATCAGTGTGCAGATGAGAGAGCACCTGTCACCCTAGAGAGGCAAGAGTTGGCTCCGCAGGGTGAATGGACCGTTAGCCAGCAGGGGAAGGCGAGTGGAGGGGTGGGGAAGCATGGCCCAACTCAAGAAGGTACAAACACAGGGCAGAACCGAGTGGCTCATGGGTGGGGCGTGGGGCTGATGGGAGGTCTTGGAACACACCCTAAGGGACCCACAGAGCCAGACTCAGCGAAGTGTGAGCGTGCCCGGTGGGGAGCTGGCAGGACTTCTGTAGACTGCAAAGTCCACAGGTCTGTTGTGTCGCTCTAAGTAAGGGCTTACGTAATGTCTGCAGGGAAGAAGAAGGTTTCACTTGGAGCACGTGGAATGTGCTCGTGCACATGGGCGTGTGCGGTATGAGTGGGGAAGCGAAAAAGCCATGGAACTGAAGTGGGCAAATGTGCTTATTTTTCCAGGAAAACCTCACTAGATAAACATCCTGAGGCTGCAGGCCCTGCTTCTGGCTGGAGAGAACACCCTGGGCAAGGCCAGAAGGAACAGTGGCTGAGGGGAGAGCTGACAGGACGAGGAGAACCGGGGAGGCAGGTGCCCACCATCATGGCGGGAAGGCCCTATAGGAAGAGGGGCCTCTCCTGGAGGAGGAAGGTGCCAAGAAGGCCACACAGGGAGCTGCTGCCCCCTCTCAAGCTCACTGAGGTTGAGGCAGGGGCCAGGGGCTGGGGCGGGGCCCTGGAGGGGGACGGAGACAAAATCATTAAAAAGCCTGCTTATTTTTCCTGTGACAATGTTCTTCTCTCAGCAGAGCAACGTCCTGTCTCAGCCAGAGGCTTGGGAGAAGCGTGGGCTGAGAGGAAGTGCTAGGTGGCAAACCAAGAGCCAAACAGGAAGTGAGTCTGCTAAGCCGAGCAGAGGGCACGGCGGGGACAGCCCGGGAGACCCTCAAGTGGCCCACCCATGGGGCCAACTGACCCCAGTGGAACCAGAGCAGACGCCATGGCCTGGCCACAGGACTCTCCCTGTGTCCTCGAGTCATCTTCCAGATGCACCACCAGACCAGCAGGGAGCAGGACTGATTCGTCCCCAGATGGGGGAAATTAGTCAAGATACTCTAAAATTAGGGGATCCATGAAAGGGCCTGCTGCAAATACAGGGCGAGGCAGAATGGTCATCCAGGTAGAGGGCCCGCCATCAAGGCGGGATGCCGGCAGTCCTCAAGTGAGTCCAGGGAACCCGGTGTACCCAAGCCCTTTCAAGGGCTTGGGCCTACAAGGACACGATTATTTTCACAATTCTACTACAATATGACCCCTACATTCATGATCAGTCTCTCAGGGGCTATATGAAGCGTGGCACTTGGCAAATAGAATGCAAGAGCAGATTCGAGAATCCAGCTGTCCTCCATGTTGCTGACATGAAGAAACCTGCAAACACGTGAAACAATGCACCCTTCTCGTTGACTTTGTTGATCAGAAAGTTGTTGTGGTTTTTAATAAAAATGTCATTTATGTTAACATGTTCATTTGTTTATTGTTCACTTTACATATTTTAAGTTTCTCAGTTGTAATTTCCAATACTGTAAATATCAGTAGATAAAATTCACATAAACAGCAGCTCTCCGCAGTCCTTAGTAACTGTTGAGTGTGTGGAGGGTGTGAGACTGAACCTGAGAACCCATGGCTGGTTCATGCTGCTGCTGTCAGGCTGGGGACTGTGAGGATCCGAGGCCTCAGAGGAGGCTTTATTTCCCCTAAAGACTGGTCTTTGCCCTGGAGGCCGGCCCCGTGACATCTGAATACCGGAGTCTTGGGCCTCCCAGCAGGCCTGGCTACGCTGGGAGCTGTGCCGGCAGCTCTCGCCCAGGAGAGGCCTTGACTGCAGCTCGTCATCACGTCACAGCGTGAAGGCAACAGCAACTGTGATGCCAAAGTAGGGGTCTTAGAAAGGCCAGAGCTGCCCTCAGGAGCTGCTCTGAACTCTAGTTCTTGGTGGCATCGGGAGCAGAAAGGAAGATTTCCAGTAGAAGGGTTACAAGATACAAGCATGGTAGCCAGCCAAGAAGAGCAGCACTGGGCTTGCCTTTGTTTTTTGTTTTCTGACATCAAGGGAAAGGTACCTACCCAGCGCAGAGCCTGCAACAAGAAGGCTTTCAAGCGGTCGCTCCCCCAGATCAAATCCTTCTTCAGTTTCTCATAATCCAGGGAGGGCAGCAACGGGACATCCTTCAGTTTCCTACTCAGCGTCACAAGTTCAAAGACAAAAACAAGCGGGAAAGGACAGGTTCATGACACCTCCTGACCATCCACACACCTGCTCTGGACCTGATCAGCCAGAGGGACTAGCAGTGGCCCCGCTGCCCGCCCTCCAGACTCAGCCAGCTCAGCTCGGCCAGTTCTGTTAGATGGACCAAGGTTTTGTGTTATGGTTTCTCTAAAATGAAGAGCCTCTGCCTGAATAGGCTTAAAAGCCACTGCCTTTGCCTTAGGCCTGTGGTGGGGAGAAGTCACCCTGGAGGCTCCTAAATTTTCCATCCAAGTTCTATTCAGAATTCCTGGCAAAGCCCTCAGACTATTAGCACCAGCAGTACCTGAGGGGTTTATCTGCACACCCAAAGCCACTGCCCCTCTCAAGCCTGGGGAATGAGTACCATAGAACAGGGGCCAGGAAGCAACTTGTAAGGGAGCAGGGGCCGGATGGACCACTGTGGAGGTGGAGGACTGGGAGCGAGGGGCTGGGACACACAGTGAGAGGGACAGTTTGCTAAGCCTGCCCAGAGGACCCCAAGTTTAAAGACCCCAGGGAAGCCAGGGGTCCGATTAGATCTCTGATTAAAGATCTGCCCAGCTTGGACGAACCCAAGACCTGCCCCCGCTTAGCCAAAAACAGAAGGAACCAGTCCCTTCAGACTCCTTGTCCCTAAAACAAGTATCTCCACATTTTGGTTTATTGAACAAAAGGTTAGAAAGTGGGGAAAATGAAGAGAACCGAATGAGGCCCGTGGTGTAGGTGACAGCACAGTGCCAAAACGACTTCCTCCTGTTGACCAGACACAGTCACCACTGGGGAAATGGGGGGGCCTCAGTTTCTGTGAATCTGTAATTAATTCAAAATAAAAACCTAAGCCAGGGTTGGTGGTACATGCCTATAATCCCAGCAGCTTGGGAGGCTGAGGAGGATCACAAGTTCAAAGCCAGCCTCAGCAACACATCAAGGCCCTAAGCAACTTAGCAAGACCCTGTCTCAAAATAAAAAATAAAAAGGGCTGGGATGTGACTCAGTGGTTCAATCCCTGGTACCAAATAAATAAATAAATACCAAAAGAAAAAAAGAAAAAGAAAAATATCTCCAGTATCAAGGGGGAAAAGGAGACACACAGTATTAAGTGGAGACACACTTCCCTGTTTGGTGAGAACAGGGAAGATGCAGGGCTGCCCTTGTTCTGAGGGTGGAAGGGAATCAGTTCTGGGAGGAGGGAGTCCGGGCATGCTGGTTTCCTATAATGAACTCGTGTGACTTACACAATGAAAAATGACATGCCAGCTTTTTCAGGATTAGCTTTTACTGGACAAAATGAGATTCTTGTAGAGGTTCCATGGAAAGGGCCAGAAGAGAAGGCAACAGCTGAGCTCTTAGTGAGCAGCTGTGGGCGGAGCGCCCCTCTTCGGCACCCAGCAGGACGCCCACGGAGCGCACCGTGGCTGCTTCGATGCTGTTTTCGGAGGCACATACTATTCTGAATTTAAAAATCAACAGAGCTACTTTGCAAATTCCAATTGTAAATCACTAGGTCAGGATTTTTCAAAATTGTCAAGGCCATGAAAGACAGAGGAACGCCTCAAATTCAAGAAAACTAAGAAGACACTCTGGTAGCATGAGGTTCTGGCTCCAACCCTGGCCCAGGGAAGACACGGGGGAGCAACGGTACCTGCGAATGAGCCTGCAGACCTGGTGGGAGCTGCCTCAGCGCCCACTGCTGGGTGTCTATTAAAGCTACTGTGAATTCCAGTTTGACATCTAGCTGTCCTCATTAATAAGATTTTCCAAGAGCGATTACTTACACGGGTGCCAAGGAGGCTCGCAACATGGTTGAGGCCTGAGGGGAAGGGGACGGGAGAAGAGAGACCATGTTAAGCACCGACAGCAACAGCTCTGACTCAGACCCTGTCAACAGTACACAGCCAACACGCCTGCAGGGTTCTCCAGCCACAGTCACACATGACTTAAAAATCAGCCCACACCAGTGCTGAGAGCTGCCCGCCCCAAGCCCCTGGCTAAGGTAAATGCTGCAGTGGGTCCACCCAGACCCCAGAGGCCATAAAGCTGCCCAAAGACATCGTGAAGAATGAAAGCAAAGTGGGTCATTGGATGTTCTTAGTTTTTTCTCTCTCACGATTTTCTCTTTAAGTACAAAAACAACACATGTACTGTGTGTCATTTCCCAGTCCTGAAAGAATCTGGCTTGGGACCCATGGAATAAGTCGCCCCTTCCCCGCCTCCATGGTCTGCCAGATGCAGGTCCACCCTGAGATCCGCTCTGGCCCTTGAGCAGCGTGCTGCTCACCAGGATCCACTGAGGGACGCGGGATCTCGGGAGCACAGTGTGTCACAAAGCCTTCCAGGAAACCCAGGCACCAGAAGTTTCAAACCCTGATTCTTGTGATCAAATCAGAAAGGTTTCAGACATGTTGTTCAGAGTGACAGGGATGAGTTTATTAGAAGGGCTAGGAAAAGGGAAAGGGGGCTGTCTCAAGGCAGAGAGTGGGTCCTCTCAGAGAGGAGAGGTGGGCGTGCCTCTCCCGCCCTCCAGCTTCTTGTTTTGTTTTTGGCACTGAGGATCAAACTCTGGGGTCCTTGACCACTGAGCCACACCCTCAGCCCTTTTTGTATTTTATTTAGAGACAGGGTCTCACTGAGTTGCTTAGTGCCTCGACGTTGCTGAGGCTGGCTTTGAACTCACGATCCTCCTGTCTCAGCCTCCCAAGCCCCTGGGATTACAGGCACCTGCCACTGCACCCGGTCTGCCCTCCAGTTTTATCGGGGGTCCCAGGGAAGTTTCCAGAGAGCCCTGCCCAGGTCCACCTCTTGATTTTTGACTCACAACAGGATGATATCAAAGTTCCAAGTCCCCACTGCCATGACTTTGGCCTGGGCCACCAGTTCTAACTGGAACCTGTTCTTCAGATGTTCCGGGTAGGAGAAATTAATTCTTATCTCCCTGAGTTCGGGATCTGGTCTGTGTAAAGGTCACAGAAGTTCCCGCTTCAGGGTAACTGTGTTCTTATCAGCATTTCAAGGCCTGCATTTCTCCTGCAGATGTCAGGTAGTGCTGAGGAATGTGACATATCCTGTGGATCATATCTTGTGGACTTAGGTCAGGCAGGGCTTCAGGTAAACAGTTTCTCAAAAGTGAAATGGGGTCAGCACAGCGGGCCCAGTCTCTGGAACCACACCCCAACCTCAAGTTCCTACCACTTGCACCTGACTGTCCCCTCTCATGCAGACCTCTGGAACAAGCACCTGCATCTCAGCCGGGCCCTTGGGGACTTGTCTGCACTTCGGTTTGAGCATCTGACTCTGGTCCATAAGTCATGCATTGCTAAGCCAGCAACGCCGTGCTCTGGTGACAGCCCCATTACGGGAGTGCATATCAGGGAGGGCAAGTCCTTCATTTTCCACACTTTGGGCTCATCTCGGATATTCATCTACTGAATTAGCTTTGGAGAGGAACCAAAGTGTTTTCCTGTTCATGGGTTTGTTTGAAAGAAAATGGAATTTCCATCCGCCATGGAGCCTTTCCCAAGGGGCAGGCCGTGGTCCTTATTCTGTGTCCCCACGGCTCTTGAACAGGACACCAGTCATTTTTAACCACACTGAACTGTGATTATTTCACAAATATTTGTGTCTTTCTCCTTCAGCAGACAATAAATTCTGTAAGGACTAGAAACATGTCACCCTCCTGTCCTCAGCATCTGCTACAGTGCCTAGGCGGACGGAGTCACTGATTCAACATCTGTTGAAATGAAGGAAGACGGACCCCGAAGAGGCCTACTCCAGGGTCCTCCAGTGCCTAGGAAGAGGCCCTGGTGACGACGACTCTGTCACTGATTGCTTCCCTCTGGCAGGTTTACAGATGTGCAGATTCCCACCTTGTGGACATCTGACCTTACTTTTCAATGGTCCGTGACTATGTATGTTCCCATATTTTTTAGCCCTTGGGTTGTATTAATTAGTAAACAGCTTATTCCTATTACTGGCTTAGTGAAGAGTTCAGAAAATAAGTTGGAAATGGTATCCAAATTACTCATGTAATACATTAAAGAGACCAAGAAGCTGACAGTGGGTCAACTGGGTCAAATAAGGACATGGCCACACTAAAATATTAGCATAATACAGATAAAAATTAAGAATTAGAGGGGCTGGGGTTGTAGCTCAGCGGTAGAGCACTCGCCTGGCATGTATGAGGCACTGGATTCAATCCTCAGCACCACATAAAAATAAAATACAGATATTGTGTCCACCTATAACTAAAAAATCAATATTAAAAAAAGAATTAGAAATGCTGGCTCATTCCTATTTTCCCAATAAAATTCAGCACTACCTTTTTTTCATAGCTATAGGAAGTTTTCCATTATTTAAAAACCAACCCCTCTTTGCTAAACTCTATCCATCAATTTGCCTCATGAAGAAAGTAGTTGACAAGTAGGAATAACGGCCCCTCAGGAGTGGAAACAACAGATAAGTGAAACCCCACTGGGACTTCAGCATCGAATCAAGGAAAGAAGAAAGCCAGGGATGGGCTGCGGAAAAGGGCTCAGCACTGTGCCCAGGACAGAGTGGGAGGCCACAGTGTTTCATGCATTCAGCAGGCACCCACTGATTACACCATCTGCCAGGTCACTGCTAGGCCCTTGGTCACACAGGGGTGAACAAATCAAGTGCCTTTCTCAAGAACTCCTGGTCCAGTGGGGGGGACACATGGCCAAACAACTCCCCTTGCCTCAGGGTCCTCACCGTGCCGACCTCACGGGTCTGTTTCGAAGACTGAGTGAGTTAATTCTGGCCTGCTCAGTCTCCACCCCCAGCCCCCACAGATCAGGTCCCTGTGGTTCTGTGGTGCACTTCCCTCACACCCAGGACTTTCTCTCCAATCCCCACACCGGGACTTCCTTTGGCACCGCCTCTCTCTTCTGAGCACAGACGGCCATGGTAAGAGTTCCTTGACAACCAGTGGGCATCTCATGGGCATTAGCTCATTTCCTGCACTGTTGTGGAGATGAAGCACCTGCCCTAGGCCAAGAGTCCAACCAGAGGTCGGGTCCCAGAGCCCACGCCGGCTCGGCCCACTCCCCCGCCAGGCTCTTCCTCCAGCCCTCCTGTCCTGCTTGGCCAAGGGGAGCTTTATCAAAGCCACCTCACCCCCATCTCCTCAGTCTCACCTCTGGCACAGCTCTGTGCCATCCTGCAGTCTCCTTCTTCATCCTTCAAACTCAGTTCCAGCCATTGTGCTCAGTGAGATGGTTCCCAGCACTGCCCTCTACCCTTACTTCCTGGAGCTCTGACAAACACGGATTTTTTTTTTCTTTAATATTTATTTTTCAGTTTTCGGTGGACACAACATCTTTATTTTATGTGGTGCTGAGGATGGAACCCAGCGCCCTGCGCATGCCAGGCAAGCGCGTTACCGCTTGAGCCACATCCCCAGCCCAAACACCAATTTTTTTTGCCTGGTACTGCTGTGTTCTCTACAGAGCGTAAGGAACGTTTTCCATGTTTCCATGAGAAGTGTGCTCCATGTTTCTACTTTCCCTCCAGTGGTCCTCAACAGGGAGTCACCTTGTCCCAGGGGACATTTGGCAACACGGGGAAACATCTTTTGGTTGCCCAAACTAGGTGCTATTGGCATCCCCTGGGTAGAGGCAGGAGGTGCTATTACCTTCCCATCCACACACAGAACAATCCAGTGCTGGAGTCCAAAAGCCCTGCTCTAGACAAGGGCTTTTTGTTTTGTTAACAAAGCAGATACTCAGATCTCTTCTGAAGTGAATTGAGTTACTCAAGGATTTGCAATCATATTTATGATACGTAGGAGGTGTCCACCTGGAAAGGCCAGATAGGACCACATGTGGGTAGGGGCCACAGGGACGGCAGAGCAAGTCAGCACAGCCACCCTCCCCAGCCCGATGACACTGAACTCCTCCCTCTGACACAGTTGCTCCAGATGGTAAGTAAGTACTGAATTCTAATTTAAACGACAAACTTGAATTGACCTAGACATTGACCCCTGGGCATAAACTTGCTTAATGATGGGGTACATAGCAGGCCATAGCTTCTGTGTCCTCCTCCTGGGTAGAAGTCTTAATAATAACACAAAAGCACTGAGGAGGCTGCTCTGAGGTTCTGTGGGCCACTCTTCACTGTGTGCTGGATTTCTAGAAGTCTACATGTGCAGGTTCTTGAGCAGGATGTGACAAGAGCCTCTGCTGGCTGCACTCAGGAGTCACTGCCACCAACTGTGAGCACTGCAGTATTTGCACAGTGTGGGGACAGTTCCAACAGGTAGGCAGCAGCCCCAGCAGGAGAAAGATGACAAATCCAAACATCAGCAGCCACAGAATAATTCCCCTAACGGAGCTCACAATAGGTTCTTAACACAGGAGGAACAAGTTTCAGAGAGAACTCCCTTGCTGAGAAGTAGGTTCTGGGTCCTGACTCCAGGCCAGGTGGCTCTTTATGATCTCTAGGTTTTTATGCTGAGAGCGCAGAGAATGGCCACTGTGGCCAGTGCACCCCTCTAGGAAGCCTGGCAGGAATGCTGGGGCAACCTTTTCAGGGCCCAGGTGTCGAACAGAGGGTAAGTAATGTGTTAATGCATCAGCTATTCCCTGAGCACCTTCACTGAACCACTTCAGGGCGAGGCTCTTGGAACTGTGGGCCTGGGAGACAAACGTCCCTAAGCCAAGGTAAAATGGTAGTGTAACAGGGGTCCAAGTTATGCTTACACAGCCCTTGCTGCTTTGCCACTGCAACTTATTTTTAAAATGGACACATTTCTTTCTCTTCCTCTCTCTCTCTCCTCCTCCCTAATCTCAGGGG